AATCGTCGATTGATTGTGTCTGTATTTTTTTTCCCTCCTGAACTGATGCGGTGGGCGACGCTCAGGGTGGGCGCGCCGAAGAGGCGGGGGGCCACGAGAAGGGGGGATTGGCGCAGCAATGGCTTTGGAGGGAGAGGACGGGAGCAGACAACACATATTCACGCAACTGGCCTCCTCGCCAAACGCGCCGTCAACAAAGCATGCCCCCCGCAGGATTGCTCCGCCAGTGTGGCCGACAGCTGGCGACGGAGACAGGCAAGCCGAACAGGCAAGAACAGGCTGCACCGGGGACAGGCCTCTGATCGAAGATCGAGGAGACTGACTACCTACCAGACCACCCCAACCCAACCCGAAGACCCGGATTTCGGGTTGGGGGGGGTATGGGTTCCATACGTGTTTTTTCGATGTTCCCCGACCCCCCCCAACTGGAAATGGAGGGCAAATTGGGGCCTTCGGGTTGGGTTGGGGTGGTTTGGTGGGCGGTGAGAGACGGCCTGCAGAGGCTGCAGCACGCAGCGGAAATCCCACGAACCACGACCCGCAGGTGCGGAAGGCGGAGGACGAGCCGGAGACGCACGGGAGCCCCGACTCCTCCTGCTGCTCGCCGTGCGCAGGCTCTCGGGGCCCTCCCCGGGCCCCGGGGGCCGTCGAGCGGCGGCGCAGGCCAAGAAAGCGGGGCCTCGGGGGAGGCCTCGGGCTCCAGGGAGGGCCCCGAGCGAGGGCCCGCACCCGCACAAGGCGAGGAGCGCCGGGACCCCCCACTGGCTCCAGAGAAGAGAGAAGGGGGGGGGGAGCATGTCAGGAGCCCCCCCCCCACTGGCTCCAGAGAAGAATAGGGGGGGGAGCATGACATCTGGGGGACTTCATGGCCCTGCCACGATGTCTACACACCACACACACACACACACACTCTTTAGCGTCGCGGCCCTGCGCGCGGCGGCGGGGCGCAGGTCGCAAAGCAGCGAAGGCGCGCGCGACTAGGGACGCCCGAGCTCTCCGAGGCCGCCGAGGGTCCCGCGGCAGCGGGCCGCCACGAGTCATCCCTGGGCGTGGAAGAGACGGGGGCGGCGGTGAAGGACGAGGCCTCGGTGCGGCGGAAGGGTCCAGAGGCCATCGAGGAGTGGACGGCAGGGGGAGAGAGTCATAGGGGAACAACAAGTGACATAAACATAAAAACTCGGAGGTCCGCGCGGATTTCTCGGATCGGCGCTGGTGCCCCCCGGCGGCGCCTCCGGCGCCGTCCCCGGCGCGCTCCGCGCGCCAGGGAGGGGGGTCCAGCGCGGATCCGAGAAATCCGCGCGGACCTCCGAGTTTGTATGTTTATGTTACTTGTTGTTCCCCTTTGTAAGCAGCGTGGAGCGACAAACACCCACACACACACACCCACACACAACACACACCCCCACACACACACACCCACACACACCACACACACACCACACACACACCACACACACACACACGCCCTCCGGGTCACCCCCCAATCGAGGTGTACCTGCCCGTGGAGCGGACGCTGCCAGGCGCGGGAGCCCGCGTGCGTCCGGACCGGGGGTCCTGCGGGCGCAACGGCTCTCATCCTCGCGGCTAGGTGCAACAGGTAGGACTGCATGATCTTGGTGCCACGCCTCGCAAGACTGAAGCTTCTGGCCGACAAGGACATGAACGGATGCACCGTTGGCCACCAGGCGACGTTCGGTGGTGACGTGTAGACCATGGAGCTGCTCGACAGCTCCGGCATCTATATCTGGCCCCTGGACCATTCCAAGATGTGTCCGCTGCGTCGTGCCGGGCGTGATCAGAAGCACGATACGGCGCAGTGCCTCGTGGCAAAGGGCTGCGGTCCTTCTCAACGCACTTCGCAGATTACTTCCCGACATTGCGTTGCAGCTGCGAGGTCCAAAAATGCAGGAGTTCCTACGAATCGCACCAAGAAGTTTGACATAATGCGTGCCCCGGAGCGTAACCCGTTTTTTACAGTGGCAATGTCGTGTGCGCTTGCGTGGGAGCCCTGCGGATGGATTCGTATTGCTCGTCGCGGCCCGCTTCTTGGGGGTCTGGTGTTTGTTGGGGTGTGGAGCTCGTGGACGGCTTGCGGTACTCAGGCTCAGGGTCTCCCTCTTGCTGTCCCTCCTTTCCCTCTCGCACCCGAGTATCTCTTGTGCGGAACCCTCGTCGCCATCATCTTGATCCTGTTCATCTCGCCATCTTCCTTAGATCGGGTCTCCAACCTCTGCCCTGAAGCTGCGAACGGACGAACGAACGAAGAGGAGGAGGCTAAGGATGAATGTAAGCATGGAATAGACGGGTCCTGAAGCACACGGGTCCTGGATATTGGGGCCGTTCCCACTAACCAACTCTCTCCCTGAATATGTGTTTTGACGGTCCCAGGGCTCCGGACGAGCCCAGGAGCCCCAGAAACCTCCACGACCTGTATCCCTCAGGTTCCCGCTCCTTCGCTGTGGCAGGGAGGAGGTCAAAGGAGGAGGGAGGAAGGAGGCAGGAGGCAGAGGAGGAGGGGGGGACGGAGGGAGGACGCAGGAGGAGAGCCGTCTCGACGTCTCGATCAGGGCGAGGAGCAGGCAGGAGGCAACAGGAGCTAAGGAGGGACCGACCGTCCCGTTATTCCTGTAGGCCTACCACGAATGCCCATGGTGCCAAAGACTGCTCTGATGACGAGACCAACGTGCTTATATCACACGAAGTCGATGTGCTAGAGCAAGGCTGCCTCCGCCAGGAACGCACTCTTGAGAACATTTCGCACAACCGCAAGAAGTGCTTAGATCAGCGGCGAGCCCAGGAGGGAAGTGAGAAGGGGCGGGCCTTCTCAGAAGGCTCGGACGTCCCTCGGCCTTCTGAGAAGTTGTCCAAGCCTCCCCCGAAGACACATAACACTTCTCAGAAGGCGCGAGGGCTTCTGAGAAGACCAGGGGCCTTCCGAAAAGGCCTTCTGCTTCTCACTTCCCCTCTCGCTCGCTGCCGATCAAGACATGCTCTCCGGCGAACCTCAAATCACGACGCCGTTTGCTCCTGGCGCCTGCCAGAGCCGGAAGCACGAAGGCATCGAGGCAAACGCCCAACGGCTGGGCTGAAACCGGCTGCGGGCAGCAGATCATCGTGCTCCGCCCCCCTCTCCAAATCCCCCGCCTGGTGGGCCTACAGGCAGACCAGGAGGAGGCGGAGGAGGAGGAGGAGGAGGAGGAGGAGGAGGAGGAGGAGAGGAGAATGAGGAGGAGGCGGAGGAGGATTTGTTCAGTCACCACTAACACCACAGCGTCACGCTCAGGTTGGTCTAACGCGAAAAGGCGGAGGAGGAAGAGGGGGAGGAGGAGAGGAGGAGGAGGAGGAGGAGGAGGAGGAGGAGGAGGAGGAGGAGGAGGAGGAGGAGGGAGGAGGGTGAGGAGGAGGAGGAGGAGGAGGAGGAGGAGGGGAGGAGGTTGGGTTGGGTTGGGTAGAGGGCGGGCTAGAAAGGAGGAGGAGGAGGAGGAGCGAGGAGGAGGAGCCCGATCGGAGCTCTGGTGGGCCTACCTACAGGCAGGCCAGGACGACCTCGCCGAGGCGGGCTCGTCCTGGACTCGCCGAGGCCTTCCCCCCGATGACCGCCCCTCTCTGCCTGGTGCCGCCGCTCCACAGTCCTGGGGCCCGGCCCGAGAGCCCGGAAACGGCGAGAGACCCCCGACCACCATGAAGAAGAACAAAATCGAGGGCAGGAACTCCACCTCCATATTAGTCCCCCGACACGCGAAGCCGTTTAGCAAACGCACCCAAACAAGGAATCAAACAGGACAGGGCTGTTTAGGAAGCGCCCACGGCCGTGCAATAAACACAAATTGTCCGGTCCGGGTGGTTCTTCCTCCCTTGACAAAACGCCATAAACATTAACTTCTGGCGCTCCGCGCGGATTTCTTGGATCCACGCTGGAACCCTCTCCCTGGCGCGTGGAGCGCGGAGCGCGCCAGGGGCGGCGCCGGAGGCGCCGCCAGGGGGGCGGATCCAAGAGATCTGCGCGGAGCGCCACAAGTTTATGTACATGGCGTTTTCTTCTTCGTCGACATTTGTTCCATGGCGACCTCAGCTTGGGCCATTCCTTCGAGGATCTCCATTGGCGGACCAGGACGCCTTCGCCGCTGCTCCAGGGAGGCGGGTCCGGAATGGGCTCTGATAAAATGATACACAACGGATGCAGTCGGACCTGGGCCAGAAGAGCAGCCTTCAAGAGCATGAGACCACCCGTCGGCCAAAACGAACAGAACATCCAAGGGCGCCCGGCCCCAGAATGCAAAAGAACATGCAACAAGCATGAAGAACACTAGGACTCTCTCCCCAACCAGACCTCGATCTGATGTCTCGGTCCGACCGACTGTGGGAGGTTAGATGACCAGGTGAGTGGAGGGGTGGGAGCCAGGGGCCCCCTCTTCATCAAGGGGTCGCCGAGGGGCCGCCCAGAGTGCCCAGACCCTGCCACCGAGTGCCCAACGAGATGCCCCAACCCGCCACCTGGTGCCCGAACCCGCCCAAGACGAGGAGGACGAGGAGGTGGGACGAGGTGATGATGCGACGCGCGGCTTCGCTGTGCGCGTGCTCGAACAGTGCGTCTAGCTGTGGGTGGCGCTCAGGACCAGAGTCCGCCACTTTCGCCCCCACAGGCCTAGCCCCCCAAGGTGGTGGGACGAGGAGGGAGGAGGGAGGAGCCACGAGGAGGACCCAGACATCCGGCTGCTCCAATTTTTTCGATGCGTGGGCCCCGGAGGTCCGGACCACTTCCCTAGGGCCGGTTTCTCGTCCTGCGTCGTTTTCTGGCGCTCCCGAGGCCACGCGAAGGCCCCCCGAGGCCCAAAACGGCCCCAAACCGCCAGCTCCGGTTTTTTCTGTTGGGAGCGTCGGCTCCCTGGGGGGCAGCACGAGGCCTTGCCCCGAAGCCGCCGCGTGCCGCTGCTGGGCAGAGGACGCCCTCACGCCGGCCGCCGCCGCGGCCGCGGCGCGGGCGCGCGCCGCCGGCGGTCCTCCACGGCCGCGGCGCCCCCGGCCGTGCCGAGGGCGGCGGCGGCGCGGAGCTGCTGCTCCCAGCCCTCGCGGCCGAGGTGCTCGAACCTGCCGCGGGGCGCGGCCGCGGCCCGCCCAGAAGGGGGGGCCCGCTGCGCGGGGGGTCCGCACGGGAGGCCTCGAGGAGGGGGGGGGGCAGGGAGGCGGAGGAGGAGGAGGAGGAGGAGGCGGAGGAGGAGGAGGAGGAGGAGGAGGAGGAGGAGGAGGAGGACAATGTTGAGGAGGAGAAGGGTGGTAGTGGTGGTGGTGCTGCTGCTGCTGATGATGATGATGAGGAGGCGGGGGAGGGGGAGGAGGAGGATGAAGTTGCTGATGATGATGATGATGATGATGATGATGATGATGATGATGATGATGATGATGATGATGATGATGAGGATGAGGATGATGACGATGATGATGGTGGTGATGATGACGATGATGATGATGATGATGGTGGTGATGATGATGGTGTGATGGTGATGGTCAAGGCCCCGTAAACCCGGACACGCTAAACACGGACACCCAACATCCCTCGAAGCCAACTTTTCCAGACGGCGGCACGAACAAACCAAGGCACTGCAGCGCTTCCAAAATAAACCCGGACGCAGGCCCTCAAAGCCTGTAGAAGCCCCGCTAAACCAGGACACAAGCCCGAATCCTGCAGTGCAACAAACAAAAAATGCACGGGTGCTGAAAAATGCTAACTTGCAGGAAAAAGGAATCGTTTCCTTGGTTTCCCGTGTCCTGGTTTATCTGTGTCCTGGTCTCTGGGGGCCTGAGATGGTGATGATGGTGATCCGGATGATGATGATGATGATGATGATGACGCTGATGAGGATGGTAGTGGCGATGATGACCGTGGTGATAATGATGATGATGCTGATGTTGATGCTGATGCGGATGTTGCTGCTGCTGATGATGATGCTTATGATGGTGGTGATGATGATGATGATGATAATGATGATGATGATGATGATCATGATGATCATGATGATGGTGATGATGACGATGGTGGTGGTGCGGATGATGATGTTTATGATTGTGTCAATGATGCTGACGATGATGACGATTATGATGATGATGATGCTGGTGATGCTGATGCCGATGCGAGGGGTGATGGTGATGATGCTGTGATGATGATGGTGATGATGATGAAGCTGATGGTGTTGGTGCGGATGCGGATAATAGTGATGATGCTGCTGCTGATGATGATGATGGTGATGGTCATGGTCATGATGATGATGATGATGATGATGATGATGATGATGATGAGGATGAGGATGAGGATGAGGATGAGGATGAGGATGATGATGATGATGATGATGATGATGATGATGATGATGATGATGGTGGTGGTGATCATGTTGGTGATGGTGATTGTGGTGGTGATAACGACTGTGGTGGTGGTGATGATGCGGAATCAGACTCGGCATTGCGCGTGGTCAGTGCCCTGAACTGCTCGTGCGTGCAGTCGTGCATGAAAGCCCTGCCTCGAGCGATCGATGACGGCGTGCGCAGAAGCCGAGAGCCGCCCGCGCCGCGCGGCGCATCGCACAGCCTGCGCACGCAGGCGGGCGCAGATCGTTGGACCCCTCGGAGGCTGGGGGTGACGGGCCCCTCCTCCTTCCTCCTCCTCCTCCTCCTCCTCCTCCGCCTCCTCCGCCTCCTCCTCCTCCTCCCTGTGCCTCTGAAGGAGCGAGACCGCGACGCGGCGTGCGTCGGGCAGGTCGCCGAGGCACTGCGAGGCACCCGCCCCGCCCCGAGGGGGGACCCTGCACCTCGGCAGGAACGGCAGCCGAGGGGGGGACCGTGCGGGAGGGATAGAGGGCAAAACATCTCCCCCCCCATGAGAACCACCCCGGCAGGCGATGCCGCCTGGAGAACGCAGCCAGAGAAGGAACCGAACAGGGCAGGCCTGTTTCATAAACGCTCAGGCCTGTTTCATAAGGCCTGTTCAATACGGCCTCCTACTCCTCCTCCTCCTCCTCCTCCTGCTCCTCCTCCTCCTCCTCCTCCCTCCATTTCCTCCTTCGTCCTCCCCCTCCTCCTCCTCCTCCTCCTCCCTCCAGTTCCTCCTTCGTCCTCCCCCTCCTCCTCATGCTCCCTCCTCCTCCCGTGAGACATCGGCACAAGGGGTGCTTCCTTCCCTCCCGGAGGGGAGGGCGGCGAGGCACGCGGGGGGGAGGCCAGCGCAGAGGGCGAGCACGGCAGAGCAGCGGACAAGAGGTGCGGGCAGAGTCCCGGAGCTGTGGGCAACGGAGTCGTGCCAGGGAGGCGAGGGGCGGGCGCGACGGGGGGCGCGACAGCGGGAGGAGCGAGAGTGAAGGGGCCCCAGGACCCACAACTAAATACACACGGATACATAGATTCCCCATAGTTTCCCATATGTTCTGGGTGTGTGTGTCTTCTCCCCCACTTCCCATATGTTCTCATAGTTTTCCTGGGAATCGACGATTCATTGTGTCTGTCTGTTTTTCCCCCTCCTGAGAGAGGCGGGCGCGACAGCGGGCGAGTTGCCTTGGAGAACCAGGCCTCAGGGGACAGTGAGGGCGCTGACATAAGGAACGAAACCCCTTTTTTCCAAGTAAGGCCATGCAGTCCAACGAAACGGCCGAGCCCCTCTCTGGCGGCGTTCCGCCACGATGTGCTTTTGCGATTCGACCGGCGCGTCCAAAACCTTCAGGAACACCAGGGGGGCTCGCCGGCAAAAGGAAGCGACACGCATGCAAACCTAAGGAACGCCTGAGCCCCATTTACAAGTAAGTGTTCCTTATTCAGGCGCCTCACTGTACCAGGCGGAGCAGGGGGAGAGCAGAGGGAGCAGGTGAACGAATGGAACACAGCGGACGGCCCAAGGTGGAGTGACCAGCACAGGAGCAAGTAACAAATCTCGCTAGTCGAGTACTAGTGGGATGGATGGGCGGCTCCTGTGCTCAGTGGCTCAGGGGAAACACGTTGAAATGATAATAGCAATACAAATGCGACGAATGCAAAACACCATAAACACACAAAACGACAGAGGAGAGAACTCCTAGCTCATAGACGTCATATTAAATGTGAGAAGACTAACCCAACGGTCGGGAGAAGTAGGTAGAAACATGCAGTAGGAAAGCGTTGAACATATTTTGGGTTCCGTCCGCCCCCTAAAAAGGACGGGAAAGGTCAAGCCGCTCGATCCTTGAAGTAGGAAGGCGCCTAAAATAGATTGGAATGTGGGAATTCAACAAATACCTACTTTCAACGACCGATTGGTACTCACAAAAACATATATTCCGGACAATGCGACTGACAAGATGATTGCGAAGCCAAAGAGAAAGAGAGGGCCCTGAAGTCAGAAGAGACATCCACACTCCCCTAGCTTTAGGTCGGGCATGTCCTCCGACAGGCAGATTTTGGAAGAGATGAGATTAGTCGAAAGATACTTCACAAAAGTCAAAAGAGCACGACAAATCGTCCACAGACATTTTTTTCACCATTCCTGGATATTCCTCCTGTCGAGGGACATGCCAGGCTTTAACCCTGGCTCTCACCCCTTCCTTTGAGCAGGGACCGACCGCCCCGGCATTCCTGTAGGCCTACCACGACATGTTCTTAGAACCCGAGCATGTTGTAAGAGCAAAAACAATGATGTTCTCGGAACAAAACACCCGATGTGATAAAACAAGACAGCCCCATCCAGAAATGGTCTGTGAACATCTCGTGCAGACCACAAAAGGTTCTCAAAACACTCTTTGGTGGGCCTATATCGGGGGCGCGCAAGCATGGATTAGCGATCCATGGATTCGGCGCGCAGTCAACGAATCCATGGATCGGGGGAGGTGCCCTCCCCAAACTGCTGCCGGTGCCGCCTCGCTCGGCGGCGGAAATCCGCGATTCCCTTGGAGACGGGACCCGTCGCTCATCCACGCCCCCTTCATCCATGATTGCGATCGCCCGTCTGTTACGAAGGGGCCCTGGGACACACAAACAAATACACACACACACATAGTAGACGGTTCCCCATGTTTTCCTATATTTTCTGGGATTTTGCCTTCCCCCCCCCCCCACTTCCCATAGTTTCCCATATCTTCCTGGGGACCGACGATTCGTTGTGTCTGTGTGTGTTTTTGTTCTTCCCTCCTGATGTTCGGCGAGCCAGGACGCCCCGCCGCTGCTCGAGCCCTGTCGGGCGCTGGCAGCACTGGGTTTCGTGAACCTGGTTCAGTGATCTGTACCGGGGGCGCCCCCCTCCCTCCTCCTCCTCCTCCTCCTCCTCCTCCTCCTCCTCCTCCTGGTTCAGTGCTCCTGGCCAGTTCGAAGGCTCCAGGGCCCTATACCACTGCCCGGGTCCCCTTACCGGGTCGGGCGAAAGGGGGGGATAGCAAAGGGGGGGTTTGAGACTCAGCTCACGTAGCTGATTTTCCCAGCGCCTCCCGGCGCCGGAGGCGGCTCTGTATCGAGGAATGGGCCCCTCGGTGGGGCCGACACCAGCTGCATGCAGCAGATTTTGTACCCCCCCCCCCTTTCCCAATCCCTCCCGTTCGTCCAGCCCGACCTTACCCGGGGTCCTGGCCATATCCGACCCTGGGGCGCCCCCGAGCTCGCCCCCCCCCCCCCGCCACCGGGGCCCGAACGCGCCGGCCCGGGGGGCACGCCGCGGGCCTCACGCCCATGTCCTGCCTCACCTCCTTCGCCCCGGCCACCTCGCCCGCGCGGACGAGGTCCTGCCGAGGGGGAGGAGGAGGAGGAGGAGGAGGAGGAGGAGGAGGAGGAGGGAGGAGAGGAGGAGGAGGAGGAGGAGGAGGACAGAGGAGAACAGAACGAGAGGAGGAGGAGGAGGAGGAGGACGGAGGAGGAGGAGGAGGAGGAGGAGGAGGAAGGAGGAGGGGGACGGAGGGGACGAGGGAGGGAGGGAGGGAGGGAGGGAGGAGGGGGCCCAGGAGATTCGACGCTCCAAAGCAAAACACTGGAGCGGGCGGTCTGGGGCCGTGTTCGGCCTCGAGCGGGGGACCTCGCCGGGCCCTCGGGAGCGTCCGCACAACGGCTCGGGGCGAAAGGCTGGCGGCTGGCCCCGGGCCAGGGGAGTGGTCTGGACCTCCCGGGAGCCCACGCACCGAAGAGAGAGGGCGAGGAGGAGGAGGAGGAGCAGGAGGAGGAGGAGGAGGAGGAAGAGGAGGAGGAGGAGGAGGAGGAGGAGGGGGAGGGGGAGGAGGGGGCGGGGGAGCCGGCTGCCTGGGGGTCCAGGCGCCAGGCAGGCAACCACGGGGGAACCATGCCCAAGGGCGAAGATCGGCGGCGCGCCGGGGGGAGAAGTGGGAGGGAGAAGGGCCTCTCAGAAGGCTCGGAAGCCCCTCCAGCCTTGTGAGAAGTAGTCGTCCAAGCCTCCCCCGATTGCACAGAAGAAACTTCCCGGAAGGAGCGGGGGCTTCTGAGAAGTCCCGCCGCCTTGTGAGAAGGCCTTCTGCTTCTCCCTTCCCCCCCTCGCTCGCCGCCGAGAGGGGGGCCAGGCGCCAGGCAGGCAACAACGGAGGAACCCTACAGTCGGGGCCTTGACCTAAGGAACCCTAAGTAAGGAACGAGGCCCTTTTTTTCCATAAGTTAAACTTCGATTCCCGATCGAACACAGAAGGAAAACCTGAGGCAAGCTGCGAAACACTTGAGGAACGCGGAGCCCCTCCCCAAAGAGAAGGGTTCCTTCTTCAGGGCCCCGACTGTACCCATGGGCGAAGACGAGGTGACTGCAAGCGCTGGGCTGAGGACACCGTCTTCGGCGCCCCCAGGGCCCACCCCCATCCCCCAGCGGTGAGGGCCTTCGCGCGGTGCTCGACACCGGGCGCCTGTCGACCCGTTTTGGCACACCCTAAGGCCCCAGTGGCAGGGCCCGCATGCGGGGACGGGCCACCCATTTTTTGGCACACCCCTCGCACGGTTCGGGGCCCCACAGGGAGCTCCACCGGAGGCCCCAGCGACAGGGTCCGCGTGCAGGGACCGCCACCCATTTTGGCACACCCCTCACACGGTTCGTGGCCCACCAGGGTTCGTGCCCCTCTCGCCATCGCTCGGACGTCCATTCCCTGTGTTTTTGTTGGTTTCGTGCGTGGTTTTTTTTCGCCAGATGATCAAGGATGCTCCTCGATGGTCCCCGCCGAAGGAAAGATGCACACGTCCGAGCGATGCCAAACCAGTGGCAGGGCCCGCACGCGGCCACCGCCGCCCATTGTTTGGCACACCCCTCACACGGTTCCTCGTGGCCCCGCAGGGAGCTCCACCAGAGGCCCCAGCGACAGGGCCCGCATGCGGGGACCGCTGCCCATTTTGGTACAGTCGGGGCGTTGACCTAAGGAACCCTAAATAAGGAACGAGGCCCCTATTTTCCAGTTTCCAGAAGTTGAACTTCGATTTCGTATCGAAAACCTAAGGAACATCCAAGGCAAACTGCGAAACAATTAGGGAACACGGAGCCCCTCCCCAACGAAAAGGGTTCCTTCTTCAGGGCCCCGACTGTACACCCCTCACACGGTTCGTGGCCCACCAGGGTTCGAGCCCCTGCAAGGATCCCCGCCGAAGGCCTCCCATGGCAGGGTCCGCATGCGGAGACCGCCACCCCCAGTTCGGTGCACCTGTCACACGGCTCGTGGGCCCCACAGGGACCCCTCACACGGTTCGTGGCCCCACATGGAGCTCCACCGAACGCGGCACCCACAACGCGGTACCCACAACGCGGTATTCAACAACGGGTCTTTCGACAGGATAACATTTCTCGGCAGGCGTTCCGCGCGCGCGATGTTTCCCAACAGGTTTTGCCCCAGCGGCAGTTTGAACATGTCTCGATGGCGCTTTGGGTTGGCTTTGCGCGTGGAAGAAGTGGTTGGGGTCAGGGCGCATGTTCATCGGCGCCCAATGCTGTTTGTTCGCCTGGGCGCGCCATTGCGATTGCGCGCTGTCGAGCGATGCTGGCGAGATCAATCCTGACGTTTTCGGTCGGGGATCGTGGCCGCGTGGGCGCGGACCTGTTGCTTGTCACGAGGGATCGTGGCCGCGGGAGTGCGGACCTGTACCCATCGGTCGGAAGAAGTAGGTCGAAACATGAAGTAGGAAGGCGTTGGAAAAGCTGGAGCCACCCGATGATTGAAGTAGGAAGGTGCTGACAGTAGACGGGAACTTGGGAACCCAAAATTATCGGCGGTGAACACATCTCCCTTCAGCAAACCTACCTTTATTGAAAACGGCCGAGGATCGAAACCGACGGACCTGGACCAGCAAAAATGACGGCCGCGACGCCCTCTCGCGAACCGAAAACGGCCAAGTCGTTAATAAACGTGTCAGGGTAGGAGGTCTATCAACCTCCGAATTGGATTATGGGACTCCAAGAATACCTACGTTCAACAACCGATGAGTAGTTTGTTTACAGTGAAAGGATCGCTGACGCGGGAGTGCGGGCTTGGTGAACGTTGTTTTATTCGGCGTTTCGACATTGGGCGGAAAGAGGGGGGGAAGAGGGGGGTCTGGCTCCAGACCTCTGCATAGTGCGACTGTTTACAAGAGTGTTGGGGGACTCCACCTGCTCGAAACAGGTGCCCAAACCAGCCAAGATCCACTCCATGGGGGGGAGGGATGTGCGAGGGCCCGCGCCGATCGGCAATATAATGAATAACAAGCGCTCACTTGTCATATTCTTACGAATGACCGTTGCTGCGGGAGCGCGCATCTGTTGCGTTTCTATTCCTACGAGGGGAGAGGGGCCCGAGACACGCGGCGCTCTGCTGCGAGAGGGGGAGGGGCAGGAGGAGGATGAGGAGGAGGAGGAGGAGGAGGAGGAAGAGGAGGAGGAGGAAGAGGAGGAGGAGGAGGAGGACGAGGAGGGGAGGAGGAGGAGGAGGAGGAGGAGGAGGAGGAGGAGGAGGAGAAGGGAGGAGGAGGAGGAGGAGGAGGAGGAGGGAGAGGTGCGCGAGCTCCCCGTGGACACGCAGCCCGGCGAGCTGGCGCGCGCCTACAAGGCGCTCAGCTGCGCGCTGCAGCGCCAGGTGGCGCGCCAGCTTCGGCGCGCCGCCGGGCTGCGCTGAGCGGGGAGGACTGCTGGGCCCGGGCAAGGGGCGGCGCCGGCGCTGGGCGGCGGCGCGGGGCTGCGGGGCGGGCAGCTGCTGACGCTGGGCTGACGGCGGCTGCTACTGCTGCCGCTGCTGCGCGCGGACTGCTGCGCGCAGGGGCCGAAGGCCGGGGACGCGCGCTCGCCGGACAGGGCGGCGCGCGGCGCGGGGTGGAGACCGGAGCGGGCGGCTGACGGCGCTGCTGCCGGGCACTGCTGCGCTGCGGGCGGCGCCGGACGCGGGCGACCTGCGCTCGAGGCCGGCTACACCTCGCTCTGGCTGCACGTCCTGGTCCCGGGTATGCCAAGGCTATAGGCCCCGGCTGGCGCAACCCCTCCCCGCCAGGGGCGGCCGCTGTTTGGACGCTGGGTCCTCGTGCTGGGCGTAAGGCGGCGGCTGCTCCTGGGGGGCCGGTGCGAAGCACTGGGGGGTTGCGCCGGCACCAATTCAAAGTGCGCTGGGACCGCGCGCCGCCGGGAGGAGGAGGAGGAGGAGGAGGAGGAGGAGGAGGAAGGAGGGGGGAGGGGGAGGGAGGGGAGGAGAATGAGGAGGGGGAGGAGGAGGAGGAGGAGGAGGAGGAGGAGGTGGAGGAGGAGGAGGAGGAGGAGGAGGAGGGGGAGGCGGAGGGGGGAGGCGGAGGAGGAGTTCCCGACCGTAGGCCTTCGAAGACAAGGTGCCTACCAGTCAGTGCACATGACTCACTCTTTGCGGCGAGCCGCGGGGCCCCTGAGGAGTTCTGGAAGCCCTGCCAGACCGGCCTTGGTATTCTGGCGCGCCCCAACGTGCGCAAGGCACGGTGGCAGACTCATCCCCCCATTGGCGCTCACTCGGGCTACAAGTTCGGGATCCCTGGTCCATGCCGTCGGGCCCTCGCCCTCTGCTTCTCCCGCCGCTCGTCCTTCTGATGCTTCTGCTCGTCTCCCAAATTCGCGTCGCCAGCAAACTCTCTCAAAAACTTGTATGGGAAACCCCAAACGGTCTCAAGTGTTCTCAACTGGACGACCTTCTTCGTCTCAAGTTCTCTCAATCGACGGTTGGAACGGACAAATATGCCTCAAATCATCTTACATCTCTCTCTTCATCCGTCCCAATTTCTCTCAATCCGCCTCAAAACGGAAATTCCATCGTATACACGAGCTAATCGAGAAGATGGCTCCCATGGATTTTATGATGCTCCTCCTCTTCCTCCTCAGTCCTGATGCTCCTCCTCAGTCCTACTCCTCGTCCTGATCCTCCTCCTCCTCCTCCTCCTCCTCCTCCTCCCGCTGCGAATCGCTCATGCTGCTCCCTGCCCGTCCTGCTGCTTCTCCTCCTCCTCCTCCTGTTCCTCCTCCGTCCTCGTCCTTGCCGCCTCCTCTTTCGCGTTCATTCCCCCTGTGGCCGTGGCGGGACTGCAGGCGGCACCATCCGAGTCGTCTTCACAACGGAAGCCCGGTGAACCACGTGCGCGCGCCTTCGGCCAGCGAAGCCCCATGAACCACTGCGGCCGCGAGCGTGCCGCGCGGCGCGCCCCGTGCGCACGCGCAGGGCAGCGCGCCACTTCACAGCACCATCGTGGATGACGAACGAACAGCACGCACACACGCCCACACCCATAGGGGGGTCGTTGGGAAGAGGACTGGCCATGGGTATGAGTGCGGATTGTCGGACCCAGGGGAACGCTCCCGTTCGAGCGGGGACCCATGCCCGACAACACGCACCCGGGGCCCTCTCCGACCCCCCTACGGGGGAGCGCGACGACGACAAAAGGCAGCTGCACCAGCACGCCGTCCTCGGGACCGCTTGGAGAAGAAGCCGCGCTCTCCACCACTGCTTGCGGCGCCCGTGCCTCTCGCCGCTGCGGCTGCTTCCTTCCTCCACGGCGTCCGCCGCGAGCTGTTCGCCTCCGAGGGCCCACCCCGTCGCCAGACGCGGGTGCGGCCCAGCGGCGCACCCAGGCGTGTTCTTGGTTCGTCAGTGGAGCGCTCTTCCGGGCGGAGAGGTCCAAAGGGCACCGCCCCGGTGGCCCGTGGCATCCGCGATGCCGCGCCGGCCGTCGCCTCGCCGGCGTCCGCAGCGCGGGCCCTCGTGCGTGGCAGGCCCCGCCGCGGCCTTGCCTGTCGGGCGCTTGTTCGTCTCGGGACTGTTCAAGTTCCGATTGGGCCCCTGGCGGCGATTCGACTTGGCGGCGAGCACAAGGGGGTGGAGGGAGGGGAGGGCTTCTCAGAAGGGTGCTGCTTCTTAGAAGGCGCCGGCCTTGCATCTGCAGACCAGGCCCGCGCCTTCTGAGAAGCAGGGGTGCTACTAAGAGAAGCCCTCCCCCCTCCCCCCAACCCCCCTCTGCGCGTGGCTGATAGATTGCTCGATGGCGCGAAGCGTTGCTTGTGCCGCTGTATCTGTCACAAGGCAGCGGGGTCGCACTGAAACGTTGCTCCGAGCCCCCCGTTCTACTGCTAGTACGCTGCGCCGACTTGGTGTTGCGCGGCGCCCCTCCCCGCCGTCGCAAATGTCGCGCCGTGGCGTGCGCTCGGTCGTGCTTCGAGCGGCCCTCGGCTGTGTCAGCCGCCGTTTGGCTGCGCCCCCCCCCCCCCCGTCGCCGCCGCTCCCGCGTGGAGCCGCATGCGAGGAGGCGGAGGGAAGAGGAGGAGGGAGGAGAGGAGCGGCCCTGCGCTCGGCGGCAGCACCCGAGGAGGAGGAGGAGGAGGAGGAGGAGGAGGAGGAGGAGGAGGAGGAAGGGGAGGGGAGGAGGAGGGAGGCGAGGAGGAGGGAGGAGAAGGAGGAGGGGAGGAGGAGGAGGAGGAGGAGGAGGAGGAGGGAGGGAGGAGGGAGGAGGAGGAGGGCGGAGGGAGGAGGGCGGAGGGAGGAGGAGGAGGGAGGAGGGAGGAGGGGGGAGGAGGGAGGAGGGAGGAGGAGGAGGAGGAGGAGGAGGAGGAGGAGGAGGAGGAGGAGGAGGAGGGGGTGAGGTCCTCGCCCGATGGGCCCAGGTCATGGCCACACGTCCACCGCGGCGCTGCGCCCGTGCAAATGCTCGCCCCTTGGAGCGGGACTGGTCGGGTGCTTCCGAGGGGCGAGCTGCCGGGCGATGCCGCTGCAGCGCGGGCCTCGTCTTCGGATCGGCGTCGTGCTCCCGTCGTGAAGCACGGCGCTCTCGTCCCGGCGCGGGCCACACATCTGGATCCAGGTAGTTTGTATTTCCTTCCACTCCAGCTCCTGCTGCTGCTCTTCGGCCCTCAACAATCGGGGGCGCGCAAATATGGATTAGCGATCCATGGATTTGGCGCGCGGTCGCCTAATCCATGGATCGGGGGAGGTGCCCTTCCCAAAATGCGGCCGGCGCTGCCTCGTTCGGCGGCGGAATCCGCGATTTTCCATGGAAACGGGGCCCGTCGCTGATCCACGCCCCCTTGATCAATGTTTGCGATCGCTGGAAACAAGGCAGCCATCGACCCCTCGTCGAGCTCTACGCAGGCGGGGCCGCCTCCCTCTCCCGCCCCTCCCCCTCCCACCGCTGCCTCTGCTCCAGTTTTCAGCTCAGCGCACACTCCAGGTGAGCGTGGCAAGTGGTGTGCTTGGCTTGGAGGAGTTCTGCCACTGCTGCCGCTCTTCCTGCGTGGCGGAGCACGCCCCGCATCCACCTCACACCAGGAGATGCTCATGCGATCCACTGTCCAAAAAGTCGGCGCTCACACCTTCATGGGCGTTGGGTGCACGACTCCCACCTAATGGCGTAACAAGACTACCTCTCCGTTTATGGTTCTGCAGAGATTGTGGTTACGATAGTAGTGCGACGTCGAATCGTGAATTGAAAGGGCCTTGCACACGGCAGACCACTGCCACGATCATCTTCGGAAACTTGGCCAGGGGCTCTGGTCGAAGGCTCCGGCTCGCCGCCGACGAGGAGCCAAGGCGGCGAGAGTAAGGTTCCACTTCTGGCCAACTGTGTGATCCCCCTCCTCCTCCTCCTCCTCCTTCTCCTCCTCCTCCTCCTCCTGCGCCTCCTCCTATGCACGCTACTTCCACCTTCCGACATGCGGAACACGTAACACGACGGGGTCTTTCTGGGAGTTCCAGGTCCGCTTTGACGCGCATTCGCGGGTAGAGGAAACAAATGGAAACGGTAAGGAATTGCACCGGAGAAAAAGCAACAACTATCGGTAGATTAATTGATCGATAAAGAGATCGACCAGGAACCCTGGAACCCCAAACCCACCAAAATCGGCCCAAAAGCAATAACCATGGAACCCAGGAGCCCTGAACCTGGGAGCCCGGGAACCCAACCGGCCACCAAAATCGGCGGGACACTTTCGTCAAATGTTCCAATTTACGCTAGGATCCCTTCAGTGCAAGCACTGATTGGGGAATGGTAAGGGATGGGAGAGATGGGTACAGTCATCGGCCTGAGCTAAGGAAAAATGAATAAGGAACGAAGCCCTTGTTTCCCAAGGAACAACGCATTAGGAACGATGAATCATACATAGCGCATACGGAACGATGAATAACGCTTGCGAGCCCAAGGAAAGACCGAGCCCCTTTGGAAAAGTCCGTGTTCCTTATTCAGGCCGCTCACTGTAGGACGTCAGATATGACGCGAGCGCACCGAACTCGATCCCTCCCCCTCCGCCCTGCGTTTCGGCCACGGGTCGCGCCCCTGCGCCCGCGCAGGGAGAGGCGGTGCGCCCCTGGCCCCACGAGTGGGGCTGCGAGGCCCCTGGACGTCCGCGTCGAAACCGACTGTACCGCCGTCGGGCGAGCAGCTCTCTGCATGATCCATGGCCAGGGTCATGTTGCCCCCATCGCACTTCAGAGCCACGTTCCAGAAATAGTTTCGAGCGCCCGGAAAAGTATCGACACAACGTCAAACGAGTATCGCCGCCCAGGGCCTGATATGTACGAACCCTTACGTTTCGGTACTTTCTTGGTGCTCGGAATTATTTCATGTGATCAAGGCTAAAGTAGCTTGGAACATCACAAGGCCAGGGATGGTTCGGGGTCCGGGGGGGTAACGTTGCAAGTACAGCCCTGATAGGCCGCTGAATCCTGACAGCCACAGGCTTTGACTGCACCCCTGGCGCACCACGACCAGCTTCAGGTGGGTCTCGAAGTCCAGGCTGAGGCCCAACTTCGTCGCGCGGGCGAGATATTCCCTCGCGCCCGCGAGGTCGCCTGGCCGTTCGCGGAGCGCAGGGAGCCAGGCGCCGTCGACGCCAACGCACCCTCGTCGTCGTTGTCGTCGCCGCTGCAGGGAGGAGCATGGCAAGAGTGAGGGAAGGAAGGAACAAATGTGTGCTTGCTCATATGGGCTTCGCGCAGCGTTCCGCGCCGAGTCGCTTGAATGGAGGGGCAAGCTGCAAGTGGGCCAGGGGCTGGGAAGAGGAAGGGAAAACGCGTGGGGCTCCTCCTCCTCATCCTCCTCCTCCTCCTCCTCCTGTTCCCTCTCCTCCTTCTCCACGACAGGGAAGAAGAGAAGGAGCAAAGGCACGCTACCGTGAGGATTAAGGAGGAGGAGGAGGAGGAGGAGGAGGAGGGGAGCCCGCAGCCGCCGAAGGCCTGCATTGCAGAGCGCCCTCACCAACGCGCTGTAGGTCTCCCCGTTGGGTTCCACGCCGGAGGCCTTTTCCAAGGGCACGCTCTCGGGGAGGAGGAGGAGGAGGATGAGGAGGAGGAGGAGGAGGAGGAGAAGGCGGAGGAGGCGGAGGAGGAGGAGTTGGAGCAGGAGAGAGGAGGGGGAGGAGGAGGAGGAGGAGCAGGAGAGGAGGAGGAGGAGGAGGAGGAGGGAGGAGGAGGAGGAGGAGGAAGAGGAGGAGGAGGAGGAGGAGGAGGAGGAGGAGGAGGAGGAGGAGGAGGAGGGAGGAGGAAGGGGAGGAGGAGGCGGCGGCATAAACTTTACAGTCGGGCCGCTGCCACTAGGAACTCTGCATGAAGAACGAGGCCCATTTGTTCCCACAAGTTAAACCTCGATCTCCCACGGAAAATCTGAGGACATCCTTAGACAAACAGTAAAGCAATCAGGGAGCACTGAGCACTGAGCACTGAGCACATGAACCGTTTGACCTTGCGGGGTTTCTCGGATCGCCCTGCGCGCTCCGCGCGCGAGGGCGAGGTGTCCAGCGCCAATGCAAGAGATCCGCGCGGACCACCGAAACATTGTACAGTTCTTCCCGCTTCGACTCTCTCGGGCGGGCGGCACTGGGCTAAAAGATAAAATAAACCAACAAAAACCTTGAAAGTAACATATAAAGTAAAATACAAGGTAAACCATAAGGTAAAGTATAAAGTAACATATAAAGGCAGTGGGCTAAGCTATACAATAAAATGTAAAGTGCATAAAAAAACACCCTTTAACAAAAACAAAAAACAAAAAAGAACCTTAAGAACTCTTCTGGAGCCGATGAGGGGCCCCAAAGGGGCCCTATAGCTAAAGAGTCCCTTTAGGGTCCTCGTCTTCACCCTGCACATGTAAGCCCCCCCCCTCTTCTACCACCTGCTCGAGATTATCAAAAGGCTCTGAAGGTCCCCAGACTCCCGAGAAGCTTTCCGAGCCATCCTCTTGGAGCCGCAAAAGGCCGAGCTTCTCGTGAGGCTGGGGAAAAGAGGGGGGGAATACAGTCGGACCTAGGCCAGAAGAACATCCCTCAAGAACACGAGACCTTCCACCGGCCAAAACGCACAGAACATCCAGGGGTACCCTCCCCAGGATGCACCTGAATATGCAACGGACGCGAAGAACATGAGGGTACCCTCCCCGAGCCGACCTCGATCTTATACCTCGGTCCGACTGCAGAGGAGGCTACTCCTTCGAGTAGAGGGTCGACTACAGAAATCGTTTACCCCAAAACTTATTTTTGTCCGTAGGTATTCCGTGGATCTACGGAGCATCCTACGATTCCTCTACGGAAGCATCGTTTTTGGGGTAAATGAATTATGTGGTCGATCCCCTACCCGACTCCTCAGAGATCTTCGTGGGAACGGTTGAAGACTGGCAAACCCGATGAATGGGCCATTGGCACGGATCAACCCAAATGAAACACACGATTGAGCCAGAATAGGCGGGGTGAAGCGGGACTATGCCAGATTAGACCGGTTTCCGACGCCGATGCTGAATTGAACCTCCAAACCATTGCATCACAAAGGACGGGAGAGAGAGCTGCCGACGGCAAATTCGTGCCGTGACGACTTCGGCGTCTGCTTCCGACACCGCGTGTGTCGTTTCACTTTGATCAGTCGCGGCTCTGCGACACCGTGGATCGTTCGATATCGGCGGTGTCCGAGCCACTGGCGGCGTTCAACCTTGAACGCCAACTCTGGGGTCTCCGTATAAGATTGGGGCTCCCCTGTATCGAAGTCGGCTAGCCGACGATTCCAGTGCTGGTGCTGTGATGTCGAAGTCTTTCTGCAAGGCCCGCGTGATGCCCAATTGCTACCACGACCGCGACCAGGGGTCGTCTGCCACTGGAGGAAACCGATTCCTGGTTTTGGAGATGGTGCCAACTATGTACTTATGACTTACTGTTAAAACCAATCGTACGGGTGCACGATAAGGATGCAAGGCCCTCGGACCTTCCAACTAAGACATCCCTGGACGTGGAAAATGGCAAAGGAATGCCCAAGCGGCAGTGATGCAAGGGTACCCTTGCTGACGTACTGCTTCCTTACTACACTCGGACCTAGAACAGAAGAACAACCACCAAGAACATGCGACCCTCCGCCGGCCAAAACGCACAGAGCATCCAAGGGTACCCTCCCCAGGGTGCACACGAACATACAAAAACACGAAGACCATGAGGGGACCCTCCCCGACCTCGATCTTGTACCTCGGTCCGACCGTGCTGCTGCCTTGCTCTGGGTTTTGACCGAGAGCAGGGAGGGGAGGAGGATCAGCAGGAAGCGAGCGGGACCTGCAGGGAAGGGGCCTCTCCCCTGGGCGCGAATTCGTGGGGGGCGATAGTGAAGGGGCCCAGACAGACACACACACACACACACACAAACCACACACACACACACACTACACACACACACACACACTACACACACACGCACACACACACACACACATACACATTTACACACACGCGCACACACACACATACACACATACACACGCACACACAAGTAGACACAAATCCCACGATTCCCTGTATGTTGTGTTCCCCCCACTTCCCACGGTTTCCACTATGTCCCTGGGAATCGACGGTGACTTGTGTCTGTGCTTTCTCACTCCTGAGATATATTGGGAGAAGGGAGGTGCCCCCCTTTTTTGGACCCTGAAGGCCCCCTTCGGGGCCCCAGAGGGCCCCGTCAGGGGCCCCCAAGGGCCCCTTTTCGGCAGCCCTCGCTGCCCCGACAACGAAAACAAAGACAACAAGGATAACCATGGCGACGATAGCAACGATAGCAACGATAACCATCGCAACGATAACAACAATGTAACAACGACAACAACGACAACAACGACAAAGACAACAGCAATCACACATATAACAACAATCGCGCATACAACACTCACACGGATAACACCGACACTAACGATCACAACGTTGTGACCGCCGTCGTTGCTATCGTCGTTATCGTTGTTATGTATCGCCCCCCAGTCCTGGCGGGAAGGGATCCCTCCTGGACTGGGGGTCCCCCCAGACCAGGGCCTGGAAGTCCTGGACGGAAGGTGATCCTGGTCGTCGCCTTCTGGGCCCCTGAGGCGCCCCACAAGCCCCCCCGGGAACGTCAAACACAACAGGGTGTAGGATTCAAGAACTGGTCCTGGGGAAGGCACCGAGTCCTCCTCCGCCTCATCCTCCTCCTCCTGCTCCTCCTCCTCCTCCTCTTCCTCCTCCTCCTCCTCCTCTCAAGCAACTTGGGCTCGAGCATTTTGCCGTCCCCCAGGTCCTCTGCACCTCCACGTGGTGCTTGAGGGACTTGGCCCTGGTGTCAGCCACACCACTGGGGCCACGACCAAGACAGAGGTTTTTCGTACGGAACAGAAGCACTCGTTAGCGACATGTCGACGCCCCCGTGGACGAGGTGCGACAAATGCAAGCGTTGCGAGTGGAACTCGATCCTTAGCATGAAGCAGCGGAAGTGCCCTGGCTGCCAAACCGTTCTCACGCTCTACAAGAAGCCAGTCCGAGGCACGGTCAGGTTCGACCTTGACGCGGAGGCCGACGACATCGAGGACTTCCACGAGTGCGAGGAGGAGCTCGGCAGCGACACGGGCGGCGGCGGCGGCAGCAGGTCGGCTCGGCGCAGCCGCAGCCCCTCCCCGTCGGGCGTCAAGCGCAGTGGCAAGGGCGGTGGCACTGAGGTCTCGCAGCACTTGCGCAAGGCCTTGGCAGCGACCAACGATAAGGAGTTGCAGAATACCCTCAAGGCGCAGATCACGCGGATCCAGAACGATCCGCCGCCGTCTGCTGCCAACCCCGTCGACGCCATGAAGAGGGCGGACGGGGCCTTCAAGAACGCGGACCACTTGCACGAGCAAGCCGTGGCCTCTGTCCTCCGCCTTCGCTCCAGCCTGAAGGCAGCGGAGGCCAAGGAGGAAGCGGCCGCCCTGCGCCTGGCCGAGGCCAAGGAGGCCAAGACGGCAGCGGCTCGAGCGGTGGCCATGGCAGAGGGCGTCCAGGACGCCAACACACAGAACCAGAGCCAGCAGAAGGGACCCATGTTCAAGCTTGAGTGGGACGAGACCTTCTTCGCGGGCCTGGACCAGATGGATTGCACAGAGCCAGCCTGAACGAGCAGCACTGCAGACACTCCAGCAGGACCTTCTCAACACGCGTGGCCAGTTGGAAGGTAAGGAGAAGGAGATCACACAGTGGCTCGAGCAGGCCAAGAAGTTCCAGCAGGACATCACGGACAGGATGTCCAAGAAGCGCAAGGGCAAGGCAGGCGACGTGGCCCCTCCACCAGAGGCCCAGCCTGCAGAGGCGCCAGCGGCGGAGGGCTCGAAGGACTCACCGATGCCCCAGGCCGACGGCGAGGACGCCAAGCGCACCGAGAAGCTCAAAGAGGAAGCGAAGAAGCTGTCCGACGCGCGCTACCAGGCGATGATCGAGACGGCCAAGGCGAAGGGCAAGGGCTCCGAGAGCACGGCCGCCCCCAGGCAAGGCGACCCAGCGGCCGCCGCCGCTGGTGGGAGCGCAACGCCTGGCCAGGAGGCTGGGGCGGCTGCCGCGGCCTCGGCTTGACAAATGCAGGAGGGTTCGCCTCGGACCCGTAACACAACCGAGGGCCAGGAGTTCACGCACATGTTTGTGGCGAACGTGACGGAGCTCTCTGACAAAGTTTGGAAGTACCTGGTCAAGAATTCGGCTACCTACCACTTCTTCGGCTTCCTGGAGACACATGCTCACTCCTCTGCCGAACTGCATGAATGGGACAAAAAGGCTCGACTGCAGAAGCTCAGATTGCACCGCAATCCAGCACGCGAGTCGGACAAGACAGTTTCAGCTGACAAGCAAGACAGATCGAATGAAGGTGGAGAAATGTTCCTAGCACGGAAGCATCTTCAAGCGCACCTTCTCCCTGAAGCTCGGGCAGCAGCTGCTCAGTTATCCGATGTTGGGACGTCGGCGCTGGACGGCTTCCTGCCGATGGTGATTCACCAGGCGGGCTACAGCC